AAATATAATTTTTTTAATGGATTTTGAGTTACCAGCGCTAAACAGAATCAGAAAATGCTGAGACATAAATATCACTGTAATGTAAATATATTCACCATTTAATCCTGATAAATACTGGATTATAGACTTCAGAACACAGACTGACAATTATTGGAAATCATGTGGTCATCTCAAGTATACAGCATTTCAATTAAAATAAAACCATAAAATCCTTTTCTTTTTAAAAAGTACCATCTAGCATATAATTTATTTGGATGAACTCTACAAATATACACATTATATCATGCTAGAAGAACTTGAGAACCACTTTTTTCTTGTTCCCAGGGTCTCCTGACTGTTGGTAAGACATTACAGTCATAATGATAGAATCGGTTTACAGTTGCAAACTCTGCCAAATATCTCACAAATTATACTTGGCAAACAGAACTGCCTCTGTTTCACAAAGATAATGATCCAATGTTTTGTTTATGTGGCACCAAAGGAAAATATTGTTTTAGAGCTCATGACAGAATTTCAAAAAGTTTGTTTGGTATTTGAAACTTCTGATACACCTAATAGTTACCACTCTATTAAATGCAGAGTAACATGGGCTTTAAAATATCTTTCAAAAAAGAAAAAAAACCCTCAAACTGTTCAATTAAATAGGTTGTGTCCATTTTATTTCCTCAACATTTACCCACACCTACAGAGCAGCTGGTGCGGATGGATAGGCGTGCAATACTTCTTACATCTGATGGTGCTGAATGTGTAGGTGAGTTGCCGCAGAGGCTGCTCACCTGTACCGGATTTAGCGTTACAGGGGTGCGGTGAGGATGTGGTCTGAAACCACGGCCCACAACGGGAAACACGCTACGTGTCGTGAGCCACCTGGAAGCCTGCTGCCAGCAGGCAGTTTGGAAGGGAAAGTGGCGTAACCTTGACAGCGCTATTCTCTGGATGACTCTGAGGAGAAAAGGAAAGGAGCAGTGGGTTTGAACTGAATCTGGAACTCGTGAGACAGGCTGCTTCCATTCCGTATCCTGTGGTACAAACCTACCTGGTAAGTGCTTAACCTTAATGGGAAATCCACTGGGAACCTGTTTTGGCAACAGCATCTGACCAAGGGTAGAACATACCATACCTGTAGTGGGTCGAGGTGCCCTGACACAGTTGGCACCCACAGACAGACTGTCAGCAGGCTCAGCTGGCACGTCCTAGGTCTCCCTATCTCCTCCACTGCTGGCACAGCAGTGTCCCAGCAGGGTTCAGTCTGGGAACCAGGTGGTATTTCTTGAGTCTGGGAGACGGTCTCTGCTTTGGTTCTTTGTCTAGCTGGTCAGATGGGGTAGGCAGGATGTGCTGTGGCACTGCTGCAGGGATGGCAGAGGAGGCATTGCTCAAAAGGGAAGGGCAACGCAGATCACTGACCTCAGCTAAAGGGTTGTCCTGTCCCTGGGCAAGGGGTCAGACTCAAGGCCTTCATTTTGGTGATGGCAGCAAACAAAAGCCCTGGGACCACGGGGACCGTATCTGCCTTGACACTGACCACCTAGGGTGGTTTGGGGAACCTCCTCTGAAGTTTTCTGAAGATGAGCACCAGTAGCAGTCCTTCTTGTATGGCCTGCATCTCTGTGCAGCTTCCTTGCCTGGACTTTTGGGATAGAGGAACAGGGATACAACAGGAAACCTGGCAATAACTATCCCAGGACAAGCATCTTTTGTGCGAATGGACAGGGAATGTGGGACCCGTGAGCTTGAGATGAGAACCAGCAGCTGCTGTTGAGGTTAGGCAGAGCTGTGGCAGTGGTCTTGGCAGGGGAGGTCATGTCCGCTGGTCTAGAGCTGGCTGGGGAGTGGATGAGGAAAGAGGGGCTTGCAGGCTTCGAGCTGTGAACAGGCCCCTTCCTGCTCTTCATCTTTTGATGTTTTCCACCAGACATATATGAGCTGCTTGTACTGAGGCAGCAAAGCCCCCAAATGTTTATCCAAGGCTGTTATTGGTGGTGAAAACTGGAATGCCCAGCAGAGAGAATTGAAAAGAGGGGAGGCAACTGCATATAGGGCTGTCCTGCCTCTTTTTCTCTCTCCATGAGGCCTTGCCTCTTCCCTTTAAGGGAAAAGAAGCTGGAAATGTGGGAAGGACGGGATTCATGCCATCTTGAGATTGTGGAAGGGGTTGGTGGGGAAGAACAGAAAGATGGAGAGGGTGCAAACTCCTCTGATTTTACTGGAAGACTGGAAAGAAGTGACACTTAAACTTGGTTGAAGTCACACCAGGCTGAGATTAAAAGGAATAGTACACAGATACCATGAGCAAGTTAAAGGGGAGGTAGCCACTTCAAGTGACATGTGTGGCTCTTCTGACAGCCCTTTTATCTATCTGTCTTGTTACTACAGACTCGCTAATGCAAACACAATGAGATCTTTTAGGGGTTTATGGACGTTTGCTAGCAAAATACTGGCTCCAAGGCCAGATCCTGGCTATGTTTGGGCATGAGAGAGTGCAACTGCCAATAACTAATGATAAGCTGACCTTCATGCTGCCATCTAGTGTTTCCTCTTAGGCAGAAACAACATCCCAAAAAAGAAACTTAGAAGCCCCATAATG